TACTACTACTACTACTACTACTACTACTACTATTATTATCCACCTTAGAAATCGCATATATTAGAGAATAATAGAATATCCAAGTTGTATTTATTATTTTTATTGAAAGATATCAATTATATTTGTTGCAAGCTCATAAATACAGCTACTTAATTTCTTCATTTATACAAATGATTTATCAATTTATTCATACGTATATGCATAGGTTGCAAAAAATATATGACTTACTTTAATTTCAATTTACTTCTCTTTATGTTTATATGTAAATATGAACGTATATATCTTGTAATATATCGATTACAAAGACAGATACATTTTTACCAAGTGAAGATGTAAACAAGGCGTTTGTAAGTTAATTCTTGCGATTATTGTTATTATTATCGAGATATGGCGAAGTTACACATCGTAATAATTAATATTAAACAATTAATATTACGATCAATAAACTTAATATTATAAACTAACTTATGTTCTTATATAATGCTGTGGAAAATAAATCTATATATACATATAAATTATATTATGTTGTATAATCTGTTTTAGGAAGTAACGATTTCATTGTACCCTATATATATATATATATATATATATATATATATAATATAATATAATTTATTGAATATATATACAATATATATATACAATAAATTATACATTGTTTTACATCGTAATGTCTTGATATTACTTCTACATTTGTGTTTGCAGGTGGATAAGATTGGATTACTTGAAAGTCAAATTTCGTTTAACTGTTTGAATATTCGCGGCGACTCGTGATATTCTATAGTTGGAAGAACCACCGCCAGATGGTAATAGTGGCGGGCACATCCGCAGAATCAAAAAAGACAGCTGGGAAGTGTAACATCGCACATCGATTCGCGGCGGCCCTGCAAGCTCGAAAAACTTTCCGTTTCCGCGTTTCTTGCGGCTGCTGATGTTTCTTTTGAAAGTAAACGGTAGTTCGTTACGTTGGCCTGATAGAAACGCGTGTGGTGCGGTGTAGAAAGTGACCGTTCTATGAACCGATGTGCTAATAGAAACGTGACTGTTGGTTATGCGGTGGTTCCTGTCACGAACAGCAGCCCTTGTTCAACCCCCGTTTCACAAGTCTCGCAGCGACGAAGGAGGGAAGCTCTGCATGATACAAGCGTGGAGGTCACTGCATTGCGGTGAGTACAATGAACGCTGCTACTTGTTTCCACCGATATATATTTCAGTAACCGATTCTTTTTCTGTAAACCGATACAAACCCAACAGGGTTCATTACCCTCTCTGATATCTGTAACAAGCATGGTGTATGTCTGCGATTTTCAAATAGTCGGAGCGCGTTTCATCCATTATGTTTCTCTCTCTCTCTTCGTGTCTTCTCTTTTTAAACGAGACATACGTGTACACCGAATTACGAAAATTTCGATAGAAAAACACCATGTCCATTTCCGGTTAACTGGGTAATATCCGAACGACACGAGGACGACATAAGAACGAAGAGTGCCAGTGCGAGTTTTCATTCATGCGACGCGTGACGCGACAACGTAATCCAAGCTGGGAGGGGGAAAAAAAAAATCTCGTCTCGGGAGAAAACGATGTATCGTAATGATGCGTTACGCTCCGATTGAAATCTCTCCCCTTCTGTATCGGTATGGTGGCGTCGAATTTTCGGACGATCCGAAGCCCACGTACGCAGAAGCACACGTAAATCTCGAAGAGTGTCGACGACACCGCGCTGCGAATCCTTTCCACGATCGTAGCACGAACTTTCCTCGCGATGTTTTATCCCCGATAACCACGAGATAAAAGCGTTCCCGATTAATATATATGTAAGAGAATATATATATATATATATATATATAAGAGAACGCGTCGGTAAAAGGAAAAAAAAGGTCGAGCATCAAAGGGACAATTACCAGCCGTGAAATCTGCTTTATCTCGCGATATTACCAAAGTGTTTTATGTAACGTAGTTGGTAAACAATAAACGTAGACAGGGGAAAATAGAGCCGCTGCACGCATGAGTAAATTGCGGAAAGTGCGTTGAACTCGGAGCACAGGGTCTCTCGTATCGCGGTCCGTGTGCCGAGGTGTATTTGTAATCGATTCGTAGGATCCAAAGGTAAACTCCAGCCATTGTCGTTGCTCCGATATATATTCGTACGCGGGTAGGAAGGGGGAAAGTTTTTCCCCAGAAAAACGGGACGACGAAACGTCGTCCCCTGGACTTCTTGGAATTCTGTCACAGCTATTACAACTGGTTGGTCGTGTAACGCTAATGCAGTCTACGTGCTTGGCCGTAACAAAAGCATCGTCTCCTCGGTTGTCGATCGGTACAAGCTGACACAAGCGACGTCGTTACACGGCGATTGTTCTCCTCTCGTCCCCAGAATATTTATCAACGCGGCACGCTACAGGAACAATCGCATCCGTACACACCAGCCAAGCATCTTTAGTAATAGGAAACGCGATTACAACACGCAGGGCCGTATTGATTTTGGGTGCAAGCCGCGATGCAGCCCGCTTGCAACCGATGGAGATTAATGGAAAGACGCGTGAGTTTCCATTTCTTAGAAAAGGCGTGTAATCTAGCCTTATACCGCGACTCTTCTCTCGTTCGCTATCTTCTCGACGACACGGGATTTTCATCTGTATTCGAGCGTTGGCACGAGAGTCTCCATTCTCTCGAAAGTATCCTCCTTATCTGAAACCTATAAACGTACTTTCGATAAAAGGCTTCCCTCAGTATTTGTTATGTTCGATATGGACCCTCAAAGATCGAGCATCGCCGACGATACGAGAACGGGGTGGCTCGCCCGATTTGAAAAACGGCTCGGTGTACCGGCATTTCGCCCGC